CAGTGCTTGCATATTTTTGTCCCACAAGAATACCAACATGTTCACCTTTGGTTTAAGAAGCGGTCTTTTACTTTACTTTAGCAGCTTCGCGCTCCTGACGCGGTGAGTATAAACCAGGCTCTACACTCTATAAGCGCTGTGCAGCTCAAATGAGTATTGCGGTTTCGTTATGCTTTCAGTTTCGTTTGCCGTTTGATGTTTCTCACATGCAACAGAAATGCAGCGCTTATGAGTTAAACAATGCGGTGGTCGCGACAGTGCGACCGCACACACAATTTAGTCGCACCGGCAGAAAAAAATTAGCGCAAAATGCGCCCATTTGGTCACACTCTGGAGCCCTGTGCTGGACAGTATTTATTTATCCTCAGTTGTTCAAATCGCGGTAATCGAATACGGTTATAATGATAATTAAAATATGAAACGGTAATACTAACCGTGGGGTATTTTAATCACGATTTATCGTCAAACCGGTAATCGTTACATCCCTACTCATGGGTTTAATCAGCCTGCCTTAAAAAAAGACATGTTAAAGTGACAAATTTAGGGTGGAAATACTATTGCATAATATTCCAATATTTAATCATCATCATCATCATCAATATTATATTGCCAAAATGCAATATTTAAGGTGGCTGGTTCCATAAAACATGAATAGAAGAAACTAATATTTTACATTTTTGCATTATATAATTTTGAATTAATCATATTTCTGTTCAATATTCATGTACAACACCTTAAAATAAACATTCCAAGTTCAACTTGAATATACTGCTTTTACAGATGCATCTGTAAAAGCAGTATACCAGGATATCCTTCTGAAAATCTACACTGGAAGCTCCTGTCGTCAAGTCAAATTCCTTGTGTGTGTAAACATACTTGGTAATAAAGCTCTTCTGATTCTGATTCTGATTCTGATCTGTATTAAGCTTAATAGCAAATCTGATACTTTATAACTGTAAAAAGCAATTATTTGTATAGCAATTAATCACATGCCAATTTTGTAACTGAGACAGCCCTATCTCAGAGTAATTATTAAATGTTTTATCATAAAAAATACTCTGGTTTACCACACTGCTCTGGTATCTATGGGCTCAAATTTCTGTTGTGGTTTCCACTTGGTCTCACCACTGCAACAGGCGGACATCTATTAAAAACTAAATTCCACAACATTATGATCATATTCATAGTAATGCATGTTGTGCTGTGCTGCCTTTGTCAGGTTGCTATTGCACTGCAAAATCCTTCATGAGTTTGCTTTAGTAACTACCTATCCATCCATCATCCAGAATACAAACTGCACAAAGGATACTGAAAACAGTGTTTACCTTAACACCAACTGCGACATCCCCAATGCTGTTGAAAACACAGTGATATTTGATCAGACACATATTAAACACCAGGAATTAACATGTAAATTCAGGACTAAAAAAAGAAAGGGAGGGCTAGAAATCCTTTAATCTGAATCTTTTAAAATCCCCTCCATTATTTAATGACACAACAAATTAAGCTGATGAACATTTCAGTATTTCATTACTTTATCCCACTCTTCCTCCAGCAGGCCAGAAATGCACGTATAAATGCGGTCTAGGTAGGCTGCTCACTAGGCTTCAAAGTTCAAAAAGGATGTTTCTAGCAAAATCGATTTTGAGGCTAAAATACCGTTTTAGGGATGCAGGTCACTAGGTTATGAGACTTAGATGCTCAAAAATGAAAACGAGTTAGGCAGATCACTAGGTTTCGTCATTATGATGTCCAAAATTGCCATTTGGGTAACGTTAGGCAGGTTATGGGACTATAGTGTCCAGAATACTGTCTAGGTAACAACCAGTTTTTACACACAGCCCTAGAGTACAGACTGAGGCTAGTTGGTTAACCATAACTTGTATTTAATATCAACATTTGGAAGTTTCTCCTATTTGAATGCAACTCGACACATTATATAACCACTGAGAGAGAAGTTTTATTTTATACATTTTATGATGGTATAAAAGCTAACGTGAACGCATATAATTACAACCTAAATGAGGTCAACTGGGGAATTACATCATATTCTAGCACATTAATTATAAATTAAACTAAGTTAGTTAAAAGACTCGCTCGATTAAACTCCATCTTAATCTTGTGTGCACAACGTGAGCAAACAAACAACTAACGTTAGTGAGGCTAACCTGCTAACACATGCTTGCTATTTTTTGACTAATTTTTGTCGTTCACTAATTTGAGTTCTTGCGATTTTTCTTGCTCTTGGCATTTCATACTAGACAATACAACCGTTACAAAAATATTATGAAACAACAGTTGTTTTTAGTGTTACAGCGCTAGCGTGTTAGCAGCGTTAGCATTCCAGCAAGTGTGAAACTCTTCTACTTCGCATTTAAATGATTATTTTTTTACACATAAATGAACAGCGCTTTTAATGCTCACCCGTCCATCTCTGGTGATCTGTGTAAAAACGAACCCGCTGAAGAGTTTGTGTGTTATTTCTCCTCACTGGCTTTAACTGAGACACACAAACACACACACACCAGTGACAAAATGGAGGCGGAAACTGAGCCATGAGGAAACACACATACACACACTTACTGTAAACACACACTACATATGAGATACACACCTACTGTAAACTCAAACACCATTTACTGTAAGCCTGTAATATTTAAAATAATACAGTTAATATTAAGCACACCCATACACACCTAGCCTGTAAATAGATAATCTTTTCTCATAAGCAGTATATAACATAATAAATGTAACAGGACCTAGAAGAAAGTTATATTGCTCAGAGTTCGTCTTTTAAATCTCAGGACATCTCGGTGTCTTTTAGCTTTTTTTTCCTCAGATGGAATTCCTTCTGAGAAATAAAATAACACAAATGAGACAATTGTTTCATAATTTTACCATATTCAGCTATACAATTTAGATCACACTGGTGTGTTCATATTGAAATCTCTCATTTTTAATTGCATACATTGTGTTGATTTTTTTTAATTTTTTTTTATTCGTGTTAAGATCTCGTCTGAAAGTCTAGAAGAGACTACTTTTCAGGAAATACACCTCGCCTAAAAAAAAGTCAA